GTCAGCAGAAGGTCCAACAGGGAAGGTGTATGATCCTCCACATCTGGAATCCGCGTAGGCGAAGTAACCAGTTGTGTCAGACCATATGCCAAGGCAAAGTCATAAACAGATCTCCCCGCATGATCGGTTAGACGTGAACCGAGCCATTCGGCATGGTGGGCGTTAAAATCGCCAAGGATCACGATCTCTGCGGATGGTACCTGTTGTAGCAAGAAATCTGTAGCCATTTGGACGTGGTCGATGAGTCGGTCTGTTTCGGCATTACCGCTATGGGACCTATAGAGGCACCCGTAGACGCGCGGATGGTCGTCGGCTTCCATAGATTGCAAAATAGACTGGATATGTGGCGCAGTTGCCACGTTTGGCAACCGCAACTTTTTATTATTGTGAGCTATTATAAGAAAATACTGCTGCCCATTTCCAGATTTGCATCTCTCAGTCACCTCTTACGACGTCAACGGTACGAAATGCGGTAGAACATTCTCTTTGGCCACTAGAAGCCAAATATATTTTTACTCCCGTTCTTGAATGTAGTTCTCACAAGTCTCTCGTTAATAACGTTGTAAAGATTAGTAGTGTATCGACGAGGGTCGCGTACCTTATACTCAGAATCACCAAACGGTATTCGTTGGAGGTCATATAAGTTTATGCACCAACCTGGGCACGTCCGGACGAGGAGGTGTAGAAAATGATTGCGGATATCTCTGAAGCTATGCATTCCTCCAAATACGGTGTTAATGGGAGACCTCAACACAAAACTAGAGATGTGAGCTGAAGGAACAAGGGCAGTTGGCCGACTTCGTGGAGTAAGAGGGACTGTTTATGAAGAACTGTTTCTTTCAGAGGTGGCACTACAGAAAGTGAACCTGGTCGAGACCCGACCTACTCAACTAAGCTTTGCCACTAAAGGTAGCTGTAAGGCAGCGGTGCAATCAGTGCGTACTTTTTTAACACATTCTAATGCCGATTTTCTTGTGAAGGTTGACCTTAGGAATGCTTTTAACTCTATCGATAACTTCTGAAAGAAGTGGCTAACAATACCCCCGAAATTTATCATTAGGTTTGGCAATGTTACAGTCAAAATTCGAACTTATTTTATGGAAACCATATTATTGATTCTGCTGTCGGTGTTCAGCAGGGTGACCCACTAGGTCTAGCCCTCTTCAGTTTGGGAATTCAACCCATTATTTCAAATTTGTAATCCAATTGAATGTCTGGTACCTGGAGGACGGTAAAATGGGAGGTAAAGCAAATGACGTCCTCGGTGATCTTACTTATATTATTACTAATATTTAAAATGTTGGCCTTGAACTAAATAGCAATAAATGTGAAATATTTATTTCCAATAATTTATCTAGTTCTAACAGAGATACTTTAATCCAAAACTTCAATCATATTTTTCCAGGAAAATAGCTTTCAGTACGGAATTTCTTCTATTTTGATAGGTGTCTCGTTGTTTTTCGATAGTATTAAAACTGTTTTAAAAACAAAATTTGATCAGTGCTTAAACCACGTTGATAATGATGTTGAAAAATGGCTGTATTTATTAGTTATGTAAATAAACCACTTATATGAATCTGACATGCCCGATATAAAATAATTTAAAATTAAATATTTTGTACAGCCGACTTCAATATAAGTTATCAAGAATAACTCAAAAGCTATTGGTCTGGCCTTGATCAAATATACCTATATATGGGATCACACGAAAGAAAGAATCATCGAAATCGGTTCACCCAGTAAAAGTTATGAGGTAACACACATGAAAAAAAAAACAAAAAAAATACAATCGAATTGAGTACCGTCTCCTTTTTGGAAGTCGACAGAAAAGTGATAATAGCAAAGACGTATGACATTATCGAATTCTGAAAAACTCACTAATGTATTCCTGTAACATATTACCTAGATATACCGAATTTCAATCATCTACGTTCAATAAGCTTTGAGAATTCAGTAAAAAATATCATCAAATCTGAATGTCTTTACTTCAAGAAGTTTCTGTATGCGATTTCTTTCACGTTGAGTTCAAATTGCTTATTCTAATCACATTTTATGGCGAACCCCCTCTTTTATACAGTTAAATAACTTATTAATTTATTTTATACACTGTAATCCTAATGGAATTAAAACTTAACTGATTATATAAATGTATAGATATATCTTATCCATACTATCTCAGCCATATTGCACTTTTTGTAGTGAAATTGTCTGTTTTTGACGTAAGATACCTCTGCCCTGGTAAGAACCAGCAAGAAACCCAGCGGGATTTTTTTTAAATCAGGTTACATTCATTTTATACCTCACACAATAATTAACGATAATTTAGCGGAAATTATAAATTATATATATATAATAGCGCGAAGAATCAAAAGACAATTAACATCTTTAGCTGCTCCAATTACAATACTTGTATATATAATAATTTATTAATTATATTTCTCCCCTGCTTTGTTGTGCGCCTGGTGCGCCTTTTTTTATAGGATAGGGTCACCAAACGAGCACACAGTTCACCTGATGGTAAGTGGTTGCTGTGGCCCATAGACATCTACATCTATCCTCGTTTGCGAATCAAAACCCAGATGTGTTGTCACCCGTGAGGACTAAGATGGAATGCCTCTTTTCCAGTAAAAACGGTCTCCGGATCTCTACACTCACTATACAAAACACAGCAGTGTCAAGCTGCCATTTTACGCTGGTATTTTGTGAGAGCGTGGTCCTTCTCCGGTCAAGCCGACCCATTCGTGCTTTAACTATACTACTAATACGGCTGCAGCATGGCTCTACCACGTATAAATCAAGCTTACGCATCATCAGAGCTGTGACAAAAACTTCATTTGGGTAGGCAATATTTGTGACATACTTAACTACATACTTAAAACTTATGTGATAATGACTGTGTACAACTGTTTCACTGCACTTTTAAATATCCTGGATTCCCGAGGTCAAAAATATACAACCTGGAGCTTTTCAGTGATATATCTTTGTAAAGCCAACAAGTTAATAAAAAGGAAATCTATCCGCGGCTGATCGTTGCTGCTGGTGATAAGAGGGCTGGTTCTTTTCCCGCTCAAAGGCTAAGTATAGCCATGCAGCAGGAATGCAGCCAGCGTTCTTGGCTCGATACCGTGGAGAGTAGGACTGTTAAAATACTAGTTTAGTTTACTTAGTTAGTTTTAGTTTTTTTTAATTATAAGTTTTTAATATTGTATATAATAAAATATTGTTTAAAATAATAAATTATACGATAGAAAAAAAAACACACTACTTACATATTATGTAATGTGTAGTACATTAAAAAAAATGTAGCATTTGATTAAAAGTTAATATTACTGGGTTATAAAAAAAGGAAGTATTATTCTTGTAAGACTGCAGTAAAATGTCTTACTAGGAATTCGTGAGTTGTGTGTTCACTTAAGAGGAAAAGAGAATCGAAGTGTATATATGTATATGTTTATTTCTTTTACACGCTCTATATCCTAAACGGCTAGATGGATTTTAACATATGAGGTGTTGTTAGATTTGGTTTAGTTGTATAAGTAACATAATTGGTCTCTTTTTAGTAAACTTTTTTACGCAGTCAGATTTTTTAAATTACTGTTTAAACTATTGGCCTTGTTTACATAAATGTATAAGGTAATATTCCTCACGGCGAATAAGGAGGTTACTTTAAATTTGTCGAGTCTCTCGCAATAACTAACGAGGTTGCGAACTAGATCACGTTTGTAACGCAGTATTCTAGAAGCTCTTTTCTGAACGCTTCCTATACTACGAGTATCTGAATTGACCGCATAACATTGAGTGAATCTATACGTGGTGGAGCCATGATGCAGCTATATTAGATTGTAGCACGAATGGGTCGGCTTTTCCGGGTATGGATCACGCTCTCATAGAATTTTCATTTTTTCTTCTTCTTCTTCTTCTGGTGCCTCTCTAATTAGCGACAGTTGGAAGTCAGTTTAGTGAATTCCGCTGTCCTTTTCCCGAGATGAAACAATTCGACGTCACTCGCGATTCCCGTGTGGACGGGATGTTACATAACTATGACTTTTTTCGGCGACCGACGCCTCTTCTTCTCTTCGTATTACATAGCCGATTGCTATATTATGCATAACACATAGATAATACATAAACACTCACGCCTGTCACCCAAAGGGGTAAGCAGAGACTATGGACTTCTATTTGGCACGATCCTGACACACCTCTCTCGCCTCCTTTACATCCATATATTTACGCATACATGCTTGTCGGTAAAGGTTACTGTTACGGCCCTCAGTTGCCCCGATAGAAGTCGACTGGGCTAGGGCCCATGAGTAGCACACTCGACGGGCAACCAGAGGGTTCGGGCCCAAATGGATAATTATTATGTAATGGCTGGATAAGCAAAAACAAACTTACCGAGTTACGGAGGTAGGGTCGACCACAAGGTACCGTCAGGGGCAAGTATGTGTGGTGTAAGTGGTGTGAGAAAGTGTGTCAATGTAACCTGACGTCACCGATGTAATCGGGCAGTAGATCTACATGCGCTGCTCTGCTCCACAATGTGCGATCACTCCAGTGGGCGTTCACCTTATGTGAACTCAAGCCTAACGTCACTTAGCACAAAATTGTATTCGAAGACGAACTCGATCTCCCCTCGGGTCAAAAATTTTTAGCGTTCTACCGGACAAAGGAAAAATGCCTTCGTACGATATTAAAATGCCATGCAAGCAACTCGCCGACGCAAATTAATAGCAATCGAAGTTAAGTTAATCACTCAAAACTCAAGAAAAGCGTCGTTGTCACGTAAACGCACGAAAAAGACAACGCAATCAGAGGCGGTCTTAACGCGACCTAAAGATTCGAGCGTAACTTGAATACTGATGACACGGCCGCCGCGTGCAAAAACGAATGTCCGCCGGCCCAAGCCGTCAAACCGGTTAATCGCCGAGACGAGCGTTTTGAATGCAAGTTTTAAATGTTACGATTTTGCCTAAACAAACCCCCGTCCCGGGCATAAAGACTTATGTCCGCGAGTAAATTGGCAAACGGGATAGGGTCGCGACGACACGTTGCAAGACCGAATCTCCAACCAAAACCTCGGCCACCCTAGGCACCCCATCCGATCCATACGACAACTTAACAATGCGCACACGGCACCAATACAAAGGCAAAGCGTTGGGTTCTTTAACTAACACGAGGTCTCTAACCCGAGGAAGATCCGTCTTGTTAGACCACTTAACGTGCTTCTGCAAAAGATGTAGGTACTCCAGAGACCATCGGTGCCAAGAACTCTGGGTCATCTGTTGCGGCAGGTCAAATCTGCTAAACCGCGAAGAGTTTATTTCCCTAAAGGGGTACTCGGGCAGGGCCTTAAGCGGCTGGCCAATCAGGAAGTAGCCCGGGGTTAGAACCTCTAAATCATTCGGATCGGACGAGAGGGGACAGAGGGGCCGAGAGTTTAGTACCGCCTCAATTTTACAGAATACAGTGGCAAGCTCCTCAAATGTCAAAATAGTTTCGCTAATAACGCGACGGAGATGCGTTTTTGCAATCTTAACCACCGCCTCAAAAATACCGCCCCAGTGTGGGCGAGCCGAAGGGTCGAATTTCCACTGGATGCCCTTCTTGGACATCGCAGTACCTAAATAAGTCCTGTTGCTGGACAGAACGACGACCTCTTTCAAATATCTATCCGTGCCCTTATAATTTGTTCCGCAATCAGACTGGATCAGGTCCGGCAAACCGCGACGCGATACGAAGCGGCCCAGCGTGGCCACATAGGCTTCAGTGCTCAGGGTACTTACAAGTTCTAAGTGAACGGCCTTAGTGGCGAGGCACACGAAAACGCACAGATAGGCCTTATGTGAACACGCGTTACGAAGGTTGGAGGACTTGACGAGGAATGGGCCAGCAAAGTCTTTTCCGACTTCAGCGAATGATCGGATGGCCCTGACGCGGTCGCGTGGTAAGTCACCCATAATAAGCTGCGATATGATGGCCTTCAGTTTATAACAAGGTATGCACTTAAAGAGGACGCTCCGAATAGTGCGTCGGCCAGCCAAAATCCAAAACTCCCGCTGCAGAATAGCCGAAAGAGCGTTACACCTAGCGTGGGCATTCTTAACATGATGGTAAGTTACCAGCAACCGAACAAAGGCGCCATCCTTAGGGAGCAGTAACGGGTGTCGAGCCCCGTACGTTAGTTGAGAATTTTTCGAACGTCCGCCAACGCGCAGCATCCTAGCGTCGTCCAGGAAGAGGTTCAGACGAGCCAGAGTGCCCTTGACAACGGAGCCTCGCTTCAAGGTTTCAATCACGGGCTCAAAATGCTCCGCTTGGACCATACGGGTTCAATGCATCAAAGCTTCGCGACGCTCGCTAGGGAACAAAACGGAATTAGAGATTCGGTTGGACGAGTCTCTCGAATTGCGGATAAATCGACGCAACCAAGCAGTCACTACTAAGAGCTTATCAAGAGAGTTGTACCGTTCTAGCAGGGAGAAATCCCGAGTGGGCTTATCCTTGCCCACTCCTACTTGGGCTCGTAGGCCAGGCAATTCAATCGGTTCGGAGTATTTATTCTGGGACCAGAATGACTGAGACTCAGTCAACCAACTGGTACCCCACCACAGCGGGTGGTCAACCAAATAGGGGGCTTCACAGCCGCGAGAAGCGCAGTATGCGGGATTCAACTCCCCTGGGACATGTCTCCAGTTTAGAGACGTACCAGAATTCTGGATTTGAGACACGCGGTTCGCCACAAAAACCTCAAGATTGTGAGGTGCAGCTCTGAGCCAACAAAGTACTATCTCACTGTTCGACCAAGCGTAGACGTCCGTAATGTCGATTACAGACTTCAAAGACAAGTGAACGTGGTTGAGGAGTCGCGTGAGAAGAGCTGCTCCGGACAGTTCCAATTTAGGGATAGTTAAGCGGGACCTAATGGGAGCAACCTTGCTTTTAGCAAGTACGAGATGGACGGAAGTATGGCCAAAAGAGCTCACAGTCCGCAAATATACGACAGCAGCATAGCCTTTCTCAGAGGCTTCGTAAAATCCATGTAGGGTAGCCCTGCATTTCTCTGGAGGGAGGAAGCACCTTGGCATGGAGACCCGGTTGATGTCCGGAAGGGAGGACACAATGGAGTGCCACTCTCGCAAGAGAGCACCGCTAATAGGCTCGTCCCAACCAAACACGGATATCCAGAGCTTTTGAAGAAGGCACTTAGCCAAAAAAATGACCTGAGTGATCCATCCATTAGGGTCGAAGGTGCGGGCTACTGTAGACAGCACGAAGCGCTTGGTCCATGATTTAGGAGGGGGATCGAGTTTGACTCGATACGTGAAAGTATCCTGAACAGGCTGATATTGAATGCCCAGCACTGTCAACAAATTAGGATTTTCAGGGTGCTCGAATAGATGAGGGTCTTGTTGATCCTCTCCTGGGAGGTCCTTCAAAATATGAGGGGAGTTCGACAACCATTTGCGCAACTCATAGCCTCCGTACTTCAGGATGGCAATCAATTCGACTCGCAATGCAAGAGCCTCCTCGACGGCAGGGATTGAAAACGGTTCCAGAATACCGGTATAGAACCGGTATTTAGGGGTTTCGGTACCTATACCAGAGCAGGAACCAGAACCTAAATTAGAACCTTTAAGAACCTTTATTTTACCGGTTCTTAAGCAAAGCGAAAGCGAGTCCAAACTTGTATGAGGTGCGGTCGGGTGGACGGCACGATGCGGCGCGCGGCGGAGTGTGAGGAGAGGGGAGTTTGTAAAATATCACATTTGTATTCATGGATCTTTTGTTGCATATCAACGCAGTGTTGCCAACTCTACGGATTTTTCTATAGATATACGGAAATTTGTCATCATCTACGGAACTACGGAATTTGACGCTGCAATCTACGGAATTTTTATAAACTTAGCACGATTTTTTTATCACGAGTGATAAAAAAACTTGCCAACAATGTCATTCTCTCTCTTCTTCTTCTAATTTTGTCTGTATTAAATTATATTTAATAATTAATTCTATGCTATCTGTATTAAAATAAAACCATGTTTACTCATAAATATCAAATTTTTGTGACGTTAATCGATTTCAAATGTCAATAGCTTAGATATGTGAATTAAATTAAGTTTTATTTCGAATTTAGAACACTTCTTGGAAAATAGGCAGTTAATATAAGCGCTTATAACCTTTTTTATAGATGATTGAATTGTCACTTATGTCTCAAATTCATCTAATCCATGCTATCCCATTTGTTTTTACTCGACCTATTTTTTCGAATACAGCCTCCCCCAAGGAATGCCACAAAGCACGGTCCTGAGCCAACTGCATCTATGGACTTCCTGCATCTCTTACCAGGTCGTCACTCCAGCTAGTGGGGGGATGCCCTACACTTCGTCCGCCGATACGAGGCCGCCACTCGAGAACCTTTTTTCCCCATCGGTTGTTAGTTCTTCGACCTATATGGCCGGCCCATTGCCACTTCAGCTTACTAATCCATTGGGCTATGTCGGTCACTCTGGTTCTACTGCGGATATACTCATTTCTAAGTTTATCGCGCAGAGAAACTCCGAGCATAGCCCTCTCCATAGCTCGCTGAGTGACCTCGAGCGTACTCATCCGGCCAGCTGTGAAGGACCACGTCTCAGTTCCATAAGTCGTCACTGGCATCACGCACTGGTTGTACAGTCTCATTTTTAAATTTTGAGGTATATCTGACGAGAAGATGTGCCGTAATTTCCCGAACGCTGCCCAACTGAGTTGAATCCGTCGATTGACCTCTCGGTCGAAGTTGGACTTACCTAGTCGGACTATTTGTCCCAGGTAAACATACTCGTCAACAACTTCGAGCTTAGTGCTCCCAACAACCACCGGCATAGACATTAAACATGATCTTTCTTTTGTCCATGTTCATCTTAAGACCTATCCGTTGGGAAACACTATTGAGGTCATTGAGCATAGTGCTTAGGTCTTCCAGCCATTCTGCCGTAAGGACTATATCGTCGGCAAATCGAAGGTGAGTTATGTACTCGCCATTGATGTTAATACCGTATCCTTTCCAGTCCATAAGCTTGAAAACGTCTTCCAATGCAGCGGTGAAGAGTTTCGGGGATATGACGTCACCCTGTCTTACACCTATCTGCAATTGGATAGGTTTCGTACTCTGGTTCTGTACTCGGATAGCCATCGTAGCCCTACTGTACAAGCACTTCAACACTTCGATATACCGACAGTCAACTTGGCACCGCTGAAGGGACTGCAGCATCGCCCAAATTTCGACGGAGTCAAAGGCTTTCTCATAGTCCACATACGCCAGAAATAGTGGCAAATTGTACTCCTCGGACTTCTGTACAATTTGCCGAAGGGTATGTATGTGGTCTATGATGTTAAAGCGCTTTCGGAAACCGGCTTGTTCCGGAGGTTGGAAGTCGTCAAGTCTGCGCGCGAGACGATTCGTAATGACTCTCGAAAACAGCACGTAGACGCGGCTCAGAAGGGAAATCGGTCTGTAGTTCTTCAAGAGAGCGTTGTCACCTTTCTTGAAGAATAAGACCACCGCACTTCTGCTTCACGCCTCTGGTGTAATGCCACCAAGGAGGACGGAATTAAAGAGCTTCTGAAGGACTTCAAGTACCGGTTTTCCACCCGCTTTCAGAAGCACCGTTGTAATTCCATCCTCGCCTGAGGCCTTGCCGTTTTTAAAGTGCTGGAGAGCCATTCTAATCTCGCTCAGACTGACGTCCGGGATATCATCGGAATAGTGTCGGATAAGACTCGCTCTTGGATGGTTACTCACACTTGCGTGTGGCTCCAATGATTATGTGTACCGCTGCTCATAGAACCTCTCAATCTCACTCAATATCTCTGGTGTCCCGGAAACAACGCTGTCACACTCGGTCTTCAGCTTCAACAGTTGGCTCTTTCCGGCAGACAGATCTCTAGCAAAGACTTTGGAGCTCTGGTTCCGCTCGATATCTTCAATAAGAGCAGTATTAAAGTTGCGTAAGTCCCGCCGCATGCATTTGGAGATCTGTCTGTTCAGTTGCCTGTATGGTATTAAATCTGCTGAAGACTGTAGCTTCATATCCCGTCTAACAGCCATGAGATTAAGAGTGTGATCGGAGAGTTTTTGTGTTCTTCTGCGGCGGGTCTTGCTTAACTTAGCGCCGACCGCATGGACAGTTTCCACGAGCTTGTCATGGCAATCTTCTAGGCACTGAAAACGGTTTCGTAGCTCGAGCTGAAAGGTTTCGCGACTTTGGATTAGAGCACGAAGGGGACGGAGCGTTGACTTCATTAGACGTGTCCTCTCCAACTTAACGTTTAAGTTCAGTGTGCCTCTCACCATTCGGTGATCGCTGCCGGTTTTCACCTTCGCGATCACTGAGACATCACTGAACAGTTGTCGTCCGGTCGTCATAATGAAATCAATCTCATTTTTTGTCGAACAGTTGGGGCTCGACCAGGTCCACTTTCTGTGGGGCCGCTTCTGGAAGAAAGAGTTTATCATAAAGAGTCCCTCTTTCTCCATGAAGTCAGCCAGCTGCTGGCCCCTTGGGTTCCGTTGCCCTATTCCAAATTTCCCTACTTTCAGCTCACCGTTCTCTCTTGTGCCTAGTTTTGCGTTGAAATCTCCCATTTACACTATAAAGTAATATACATTGGGTTTTGGAGGAATGCATGGCTCTAGAGATATCCTCATACATTTCCACCACCTCCTCATCGGGGTGTGCCGAGGTTGGTGCTTAAACCTGTATGACCTTCAGCGAATACCGTTTGGTGATTCTGACTATAAGGTACGCAACCGTCGTCGACACACTCTCAATCTTTACAACGTTGTTAACGAGAGACTTGTGGACGATAAATCCGACACCTCCTTGGGACAGATGGCCGCCCTCCCGGTGATAGAGCAAGTTGCCTGATTCGAGGATTACCGTGTCCTCCCCCTCTCTTCGAACTTCGGATAATC